TAGACTCTAAAATAAAGAAAAGAAAACTTGTAAAATAGAACCGTGTCTCAGGTGACCGAGACTATTTCTATTCAAATCCGTAAACTTCCGATAACCGAATGACAGCTGAATGATAGTATTCGAGTCGGGTAAATATAGATGTAAAATCGATGCATATAATTTGTATTTGTTTTCAATTTACTTGAATAAATTAATAATTCAAGATAAAAAATACCTATTTAATAAAAACAAGATCGATAGCATTACCTTATTTAATTAGAACATTCCTTCCACGTTCTATTCCTGACCACTTTCCAGTTCCATCATCAGACTGAAAATCCCAAATTAGATGGGTTTATTTCGCTTAATAACATAGGTCCCATGGTTACATTTCGCCTTAATCTTCAATTCGTTTCCATTGTATATCTAACTCCATTATAATTGTTAGAAGAAACCTGATTTTTTGTCCACCCATATATCATTACATAAAACATTAAAAATGCAATATTTCTTTAATTTACGTGCTTCCATTTTTTTAACCTCCGAGCTCGATAATATCTGCGTGCCTTGTATCATTATAACGCGAGTCATAGGTACATATTACGATAATTAAATGACAGTGGCTTTTCGGAGAAGTAATCATACTATTAACTATCGATTTTCAGCGAATAATCTGTGTGCTAAATAAATTTCGAGGCATTTTACTTAACCGACTTAGAAAAGATGGTTCTCAGTTTGACCTGTGTGTATGTATGTAAGTTTGTAAGCGATTATCTCGCGTTTGGCTAAACCGACCTTGATCCGGTTTTCAGCATAGTATTTGTCAGACTTAGGAGAAGGTTTAAGGTATATTAACCGACTCAGTTTAACACGGTTTTGACGCGGTTTTCAAAAAAGAATTTTTATGAATATAAACTTAGAGCAAAATTGATATTTCTTATTTACTTACATTTATTTCTCCTATCCTTTGTACAGTCATATTCTTGAGTATTACTTGTATTGTAGCTACTAAAAATTTTATATAAAATATGAAGAATTTTTAAGTAATTTAATTGAATTGATATACTATGGAAAGTAAATTAAAAAGTGGTGCAACTAATTTTGAGACAACTAATAAATCTCAAAAATTATCACAAATCCTCCCCATTCCCAGCCCAGTGCGGATTGGTGGGTGCAAAGTTACTGCAAATGTATTCGAAATCAACGGTTGAACATACCTTCCGAACCCATCCTTTGACGGCCGATGCGAAGGTAGCTTTATTTCCGCACGCGGACAGACCGCGCTAACAACGGCGACATCGGGTTCATGAAAAGTTTCACAAACAATTATGTAGACTATCTAGAAAAATAGTATTATCAGGGGCAAATAAGGATACAAAAAGCTTTTTGGTTTTCAAATACTTTTATCTGAGGAGTAAATTAAAAAATGGTTCAACTTATTTTCAAACAACTCATTAATTTTCACAAGTTTAACTCTCCCAAGCAATTAAGTAAACTGTCCTGGAAAATTAGTGTTCCGTAAATGTTGTTACTGATCGATTAATCGAGTTTCGGATGCAGGCGTACCGCATGCCGTGAAATTAAATTGGAACCTTAACGTGTTAGTTTACCTAACTAAGGCACAATAACGCTACTGTAGATGACATATGCAATTTCATCCACCGATTATAGTATTTTAACTACTCGGAACTTCGTCTACGTAGAGTATTTGAACTTTTTAGCGAAACAAAAGGTATTCCGAATTTTTATTTAGGTTATACAGTCCTGCGGCGCCACGTCGATAACTGCGCTGTCGCAGTATTCAAGGTTCAATCAAATAAAACATACTCAAAACAGTTTTAAGTAAATAGAAAATATATATTTAGCATTTTGACTATATTTTTAAGCAATAACTTTTCGTTACACAATATTGTTTTGTTTTAATAAATAAATTGTGTCGTAACACTTTTTAATAAAAAAAGTGACCGCTTAGTTTAGAAAAAGTCGTAGTTACGTAGCAGCGGTTGTCATTTGTAGCAAGGCTACGAACTACGCTACGTGTCACGTGGGCGTATCAATGACGTAACTGAGAAACTAAATAGTAGTTTGTGATTATAGAAAAAAAATAACTAATCAAAAATGAGAAAGTACAGCATATGTTGATACCTACATTTTAAAAATTTTATCAACAACGAAAAATTATAAAGTTAAATTTTCTTTTACAGTAAAATATGTTAAATATTTTCGTCAATGTGAAGTATTTTAGTAATGTTTCGTTTTAAGTTCTATCTTGAAATAAATGGTTTTCAAGCAAATTATTTTTTTTCACACAGTTACTTTTGCATTTGTAGTATACTGATGCAGTGTCGTGTCGTCTGCTTATTAAGAAAACCGAATAATGCAATGAATATTGATTTGAGTCATTTTTAAGATTCGCATTTGAAATACACTGCGTCATATGATATTTATGTCAAGTGATGTAAAGTATTGTGTGGTTTTGGAGACAGCTAAAAATTTTTTTATAGTGTAAATATCTAAACAGTATATATATAAATTAGTTTATAGTTATTGTAATTTGTATACGTAAAAATTGTAGTTTTTCCTTGTGATATTCAAATTATTTTAATAGTTTAATACGCCGAAAAAAGTGTGAATGGAAGTTCGGCACAATTTATTTATGTATGTCAATTTATAACAGTATTACCCTATCAGTATTACTAAATATGTTTATTATTATATTAATTATATAACTCAAAATTTATATTAAGACAAAGCAAACCATTACCTTTTAGAAGTAAAATTTCAACTTTGCTTAGTCTTTGTTAAATTATAGTAATTGTTACTTTCCAAAATATAGTTACATAACATTATAAATTTAAATGACTAGGATATTTTGTCGTTAAGACAACGCGTACATATTAATTATATTTAATAGTTTTTAATAATGAAAAAATAATTAAAGTCTCACCAACATTCCCAAACAAGTTGTTGTACAAGTGTAAATTTTCAATTTTATATCAATAAACATTAATTTGACTAATACTTAATGTATACTAAATTTACTCCGATTCAAAACTTTGTTTTATTATACTGATTATTTTCTCAAGGGTCAAACGTAGCATACGTGCGCTTTTTTAATTACATAAATATGCTCTTTTTAGTACATGTTCAGAAAAAGTATATTTATTCTAATTTCGCAGTAAGCAAGCAACATATTAAAAATATACTAGGTTTCCGCCATCTGTTTCGCTCGCGTGGTCAATATAAACTATATGTGCTACTTACATTGTAGGGGTATTAATTGCTTCAAAATTTCAAGTTTTTATGTACAGTAGTTCCTGCTGTGTGTTGACATATATATCGGTCAGGTTTGCCTTTTTATATATGTGTAGATAGATGGTAACTGGTTCAAGCCAGAAGCCTTTTATTAATGTAAGTGTAGCAGACAGAGTCACACATTAGTATGATAAGTCCACTAATTTGTCATCGTTTGTAACCTATTGAAACGTTTCTGACGTCACCCCATACTAATGATTAATAAACTGAATAATTATTATGCGAACCTATATGAATAGCAATATTATCAATAATATCATACGTTTTGTGTAAATTCCAAGAAATTGCTATCGATATAAGTATTTGAGCACTTTGAACTTCGTAAGCTTTCGTTTAATAAAGTGATTCAATGAAATTTCATGGAATAATTAATTTACTTTGATCAAGTTTTTGTTAAATCTATTCTGAAGCTTACATGTTTGTTTGTTTGGGGGCTCTAATTTTTGGAAAGATAAGATGCTACTTTTTGCGTTGAAAAGACAATTCTTCAGCAATGAGTTTTTACTTAATATACTTTTAATTAAACTGCGTGTTAGGGAAATGGCGTATTCAGAGTTATGGCTTCGTTCTAATAACAAAATTATCTAAAATACGGAGAAACCTCAAAAATACCCAATTTGTAACAATTCATAAAATATTTAAAAATATACTGTATTAAAAATATATCTTTGGTTTTAAATGAAAACACTGATTTTTTTACGTACCAAAAAATGCATGAAACATTCATAAATTTGGCGTGCGGGCGGGCGTTTTGCAGATTTTTGCTGTACTATTTTTAATATTTTAAAAGCTTTCACGATTAGCAAATAGAAAGTTAATAGATAATATTAATAATTTAAAAGTCACCGAGTATATGAGTCATGCGATTTGCACCTTATTTTGCGACTATGGTATTTGTTTTTATCGACCACTGAGCTGAGGTTTCAATTTTATAACTAACTAGCTGTTTTCTCGCAACTTCATCCGCACAAAGTTATAGCATATATCACACGCGTATGATGTAGGTTCTTGTAAGTGAGATATTTTTTTTAAAAACAGCTAAGTAGTTTTGGAGCCCATATGATGCAAGCAAACAAACAATCAAACCTTTCCACTTTATGGTAGCCGTATAGACAGTACTTTATTAATAAAACAAAAAGAGACACATTAAGAAATTTAACATAAGATAGGATATTTAGCTAATAATGTTGTTAGCACTCACCAGGGACGAGATGCTATTAATTCGTCATGTGGAGCTCTACGGGAGGTAATATAAGATAGCTGAACAATTCGTAATCTAAATTGATGAAAAAAATACTAATAACACCATAACAATTATGGACAAACCTGGCATGTGCCTTGAATAGAATAAAATCGGTATTATGTGTCGCAGTCAAGTGATCGAACCGAGTCATTGAATTGGACGTCTAGTCCTTTATTTGATGCCTTTGAATTTCGCTATTTATAGGACTCCTTTAAAAATATTATTTGATTCCAGCATACTGGTATATTAACAATCGAGATGTCGACATCGAGTAGTGTTTTAATTTTATTAACTATTATATTTTTATGTTCAGCTATTTATTTCGTTTCACATTTAAAATTCTAAGTATCTGACTGACTAGCAACGTGTATTGCGATAATGTATTTAACGAATAATAATAATAGAAAATAGCGGCAATATCACTTCTAATGGCAGTTACATAATATATTTATTTTGTTTGCAGGTCGTTGCTTGCCTGTGCTCTGTGTGCATTTGTTTCACATCTACGGGCTACTATCTCACTTCAAGCTTGACGCAGTGAAGGCTTGGAAGCTGTTCAGCCTCATTGAGGAGGGTTACCACAGCACAAACCCCTATCATAACTCGATCCACGCCGCTGACGTCACCCAAGCCATGCACTGCTTCTTACAGCAGAAACAGGTCAGTGATTTGTTTTGGTAACGAAATGGCCGCCATCGCAAAATTACGGTTAGCATATTTTTGCTTTTTAACATTTCAAATCTAAGATTACGTCCGGGACAAATTGGCGCCGCTTATACTATGGAGTCAATTATCATCATTACGTGTCTTTGCAAAAAACCTAAGTATTAAGAAAAAATATATATTATACCTACTAAGTTTCAGGGCTAAAAGTGCTCCGGACTACTAATGTCGATATTGATGTGTTTAATGCCTTATATGATGACACGTCACTAGTTGCGATGTTTCGGATTACATTTAGGCAAAAAGGTCACAATAATAAAAAAACCGAAAGAATTTTCGTTTGACGTATTAATTTAAAAAAATTAATGCTAGCTTCCGTCAAGTGAGCTAATTCAAATTAGCAGCATGTGTAATTAAAGCAGAAAATGTATCCAAATAAAAAAGCAATTTATGATGATATTCCTTTTAATTGAAATCTGGGACATGGACCGGTGGTCTGACATAAACGTATGTTTTTTTTTATTAAAATCGTCATGGGAAGTGTACCGACATGGTATAAAAAGTTGTTAAATTATATTTCCGTAGGTTGCGAAGCTTTTTGACTTTTACTGCTCGTTAGGAAACCGTAATTTCCAATTTAATTGAAAAACAAATATGAGAATTGAAAACATGATATTTCGTGCTATCCAATTTAATGTACTGAGAGGCACAGTTTCTGCGGTTTGTTGAAAATTTTTAGCGGCGTTACGCGACCGTGCAGCACTCTGCCTATTCGTGTATGTAACATGTCGTGGCAAAAGTATTTTATCATGTAGTATGTTTAAAATTTAGCTTGCCTTTACCACTTATATTTGGCTGGTTTTAATTTCATTAAAATGCTCACATTTTTCATCAATTGAGATGAATCAAATTAAACCATGTGATTTTTGTCCCGATTACATTGCAACATATTTATCCTCTCAGCAAGTATATAATTCTTTGAGTAGTGTCTGGTTAATATCGAGAAAAGTTAACATCAAATCACATTGACGCATTTTTACTAATAAATATAATAAGATAAAAAAAAAAGATATTTAAGAAATCATCATACATAAAATTAATATCATTAATGCGAAAGTGTAACTTTTTATTATATTGGTAAGGTTTTTGGTGTTGAAGTTTCGTGATAAAATATATGTTACTCTGTATGTATGTATGAGTCCGCTTGTTAGTAAATCTTAAGTTTTACTAGTAAAATTGAGATTTATCAACATGATCTTGTAAATGATAGATTTTTTTATGAAAATGATATGGTTTTCGAACTTTTATCATTAGATTTTGGAACTAAGATAGAGATAATACCTACAATAAATATTTCTTTATTTTAAATTTCAATTACCTATCACTCGAAGCTTTGCGTTATATTAATTGTTAATGTGATGATATTATTTTAGATCTCAGTATTTGAATTATCATTAGAATATAATATCTTAATCATTTATCAAATAGTATATGTACCTTTTTAATGACGGGCTATTTTTATTTTTATATGGAACTTTATATGGAATATAATTACATGGTTTTATTACATTTTACAAAAATAGACGAAATTTCATTTTCAGATGAATATCACAAGCCTACAGGTGTCATGTTAATTCATACGAGTAGTATATAAGTGTCCTGATACCTGACTGTATGTCTAACCGATACCGATCGCATGCATCAAAGTAGGTTTTATCGTCATTTAGAAATTGCGATAATGATCATATTAAACAGTGAAAGGTGGAACATTGAAACAATTGATCAAAAACACCTAAGAATACCAAATCGCTTGTAAAATAGCTCTTATAGGTAGAAATTTAATATTCTATCTTGATAGATAGAGTATTAAGCTGATGCTTAGGATCACAGTTTAGGTTAACTGTAGGTCTACCATTAATATATATTAATTTCATGTTTAAATTACTCTTTTTACAATAATTTGGGGCTTAGTTTTCACAGACTATAATTGGATTGCATATTTTGTTTTTCGATAGTTAATTAATAACATTCCTGTTTTTTATTTTTATAATTCATTTTCCGTTTGTAATGGTGTGTCTTCGAAGTGGCCCCATTAAAACTTTATCGATATCGGATTAATTAAGACTAGTAAATAGTTTTGAAATCCAAATAATTATATCGTCTAACTAAACTTATATGCCGGAGATGCCAATGTCGTTTGTACTTAGATATGGATCTTCCTGTATATAAATATGTATTTCACAAATACATATTTCAAAAATAATGGTCTTCATAAGTCTTGGATCAGTAGTTTCTTGAAGACTTAAAAATAATTAATATTAAATAACATTACACAGATTGTTGAGATTCCAAGATGAGCAGTTAAAACTCGTTTTGTGGAGTATCTGTCACAACGATGGTACCACAACTCAAACCCAAGGCAATATAGTAAAAGTTCATTTTACTAAAGAAATTAGTAGGATCACACTAAAATTGTAAAATAAAATTGGTTAGTATTCTTAATGAAAAATGTTATAAAATGCACTTTGTCCCTGGTACTCTGAGATGGTACGGAAGGGATTCGAACCAAAGCAACTGCTTTAACCACTGAGCTACCCAGAACCAAACAGGACTGACAATTTTTTCAAGCACTTGGTACTTTTTCGGTTCTACAGAGCGTATTTTCATAAATGCGTACAAGCAGCCGAAAGAAATATTTTTAGTTTACAAATATTTGAATCTTTCAACTATAATAATAAAATTGTTTTTCCTGCAAAAACTATATAGTCTAATTTAAAACCTGACTAAAAATTTCCAAACGGACACCATTCAAAAACTATAAAGGCGGTTCCCATTTTATATTATCTAGATAGTTAACTATAGCAAACTGTAAAAAGATAATTTATAATCTGTTTTTTAGTGATGAGGGATCAATTAATATTTTAATTAGAAAAAATAACACAATTAACTTTTGTTTCGTTAAATGATTACGGTAGAGAATTTAAAAGCCTGTCCCCTTCCCCCTAAAATATCATTTTGTAAATTATTGACTGGAGCAGGAAAAACTTTGTCCGTCCCTCATCTAGCCAGTGAACAAAATCCGAACAACGATACTTATATCACAATCGCGGCTTTGTTGGCAATTGGGCTAAGCGTCCTGTTATTATTATGCTATTGTATATCTTTTATATAAGTGAGGTACAGTAGTACTTTTTTCTTCTTTTCTTGTTTTAATCTCTTTTCTATTAAAATATGTACTGAATTAAGTACGAGAGTTTTATAAGCTTTTTTTTATTGGAAGAATAATAACAATATATAATAATATGTGTTATAGAATAATATGTGTTTAGGATTTTTTCTTGACTGGGAGTTTCACTAACAATATAATAAGTAATCTATAATACTCTATCCTATTTCTAGAACATATGTAATGATCTCATGTAGATACATTCTGAAATTTAAGACAGTTCTTTTTACCAAGTTTGGTGAGTTTGTAATTTTTCTATATTGTCTTCTTTCTTTTACTTAATATCAGCGGTTTAAATATACATTTAACGGAGTTTCTTTCTTACAATCAAATAATGTTTGCGTATATATTAAAAGGATTGTGTGGTCTAAAAAAACCAGCCAACCAGTTTTTAAAATTGGTTCGAAAAATATCTGACGGGAGATCATAAGGGTGCTCGTCTACTACCTCAGCACGCAAGCATCGACCGCATGACCAACAACTTATTGCACGGATTTGTCTATGTCATACATCTATTGCAGTCTCATTTTTCATCGATGCATCTATGAAAAATGCAACTTTGAGTTTTGACGTCGGAATAATGCTGATAACGTCATAAGAATTATTAATATAATCCGTTGAGGCCGTTACGTCCGTGATATAATGACATTCACCTTAAATATTTGATTTGATATTGAAACTTTCTCGCTAGAAAGACGATCCCTCGAGCACTAATATTACGGATGTTTAAGATAAACGCGATGATACTAGACCGTTACGGTTTTATTATTGATTTTTTTTTTAATTAATGAAAGAATTAGTATTTCTGTCTAGACATACTTTTGGTCCCATCCAATGATTGACCGTTGCGAAAGTTGATTAATATCTGTAATCAAACTAAGGCGTTTACTAAATCTCGCACTGTAACCTAAAAATAGCTAATAATCCTTGGTAAGTTAGCAGTAAACTATTCGTGTTTCGAATGGTTCGTTATTTTGAGGCTTAAAATTATCCCAGTTGTTGCGAAAAGAAAAATAAAAACCAAAATTTTTGTGAGATCACCATATAAACCAATGACGGAGCGATAGACCAGACAACTAAGTAGCGCTGTAACTGCCGTAACGTGGCCGTTATACAGTTAACAGCACACTTAATCATTCGAAGCCCGCCAAATATTCCTCGATCTATTCCAAACTAGATCTTGTTAAAAGTTGAGTTTAAGATCGACAGTGCGATAGTAGAAACTCGACACTCTGCGGTAACTCGATGCTCTATCATGCAGTGTCTGTAAGACTAACATAAAGTTGGTTTAAGAGTTTTCAATCCGGAAATTTTGATGCCAACGATGCAGTTCGCTCTGGTCGCCTTGTTATGAACTAAATTATTATTGTAAACGGTTGTCATGACGATAAGTTATATTTGAACGTCATTTTTGATAAAATATATTTATAAGAGATAGGGGTGTAGCTACAACGTAACCGTAAAACATTGCAAGAAATAGACGACAGAACAGTCTTCGCCTGTTTTGAAAATACAAATAAAAAATGGACAATTCGAAACAAATTAAGGACTCACTTGGTGTACAACTGTAACGCTCTATTGTTCATTTTTTAACGTTGAGAAAATTCAATTTATTTGGTTCTTAATTGATTGTTAAGAATTTAGTAACGAAATTTAAATAATATATTATATAAATTTGTAGGCTTTACTCAAGGCAAAGAGTGTTGGATCAAAAATAACATTAAATTTCTTAGATATATCCCTACCATTACCTACCTATAAACACGTATTTATTTATTATTAACATATTTCCTCTTATCTTTGATAACAGCACCTATAATTCCATGATTTCAAACTTTCATAATTATGTATTAAATATATTATACTTTTTTTCATATTCTATTACACTTAATTAAAAACATGATATAAATAATAATACTGAAAGATTAATTATCAGATCCAATCAAGGAATGCAAACGCTGCGTCCATACCTGACATTTCAAGGTAATCTTTTCAAAGAGAAATAGTCTTCCTTTGAGAGCTTATTACGAGTCGTTCACTAAGAGAGAACTATGCTTGATATTTCAAAGGGTAAATATAAAAATGCTTTGATATCAATCGATATTTAGATAACATTATTCCTACATTCATATGTTTTAAATTCAATGAATACAGATTTATTTAGAGAGAATTGGACATGATGCCAAAAAGAAAAGCAATTTATATACAGGATTAAATGAAATTCTATATAATCCATTGAAACCTAATCCGGACAGTTGATTCGAAGTGAAACTAATAAGAGACATCGTGACTGATATAAAAAATAAAAAGTGGTCGTGGGCGGGGCATATTGCTAGAATTAATGAGAGTCGCTGGACAAAACGAATCCTTAAGTGGAGACAGAGTGGATACTAGAAGGCGTAGCAGGCCACCGCAGTGCTAGGTGGATGATATTTGAGGGTACGGAGATGGAGTTGAAACCGGACGAGTCGCGAATAAGATCGCCAGGAGGGAAAAGGCCTATATCTAAGACTGCATCACCAAAAGGCCACAATGATGATGTTGAATCAGGAAAGAGTCCATACTAGTGGCAAACTGTAGCATACAATTGTATTTCTGCTGAACCGTCTCATCTGATTAGTCCCCAACCGTGAATAATAATCCAAAAACCGCTCAAAACCGCTATTTCTCTATTTTACCAAGCTTACGTTCATTGTTTTGTCAATATCGATACAAAATTTATTATTTTCCACCGTAACATTGATATATAGTCGACATACTGTTAAGATTAAAAATCAAAAATTCTAATTTCAAATATTTCATTAACTTAGATTTTTTTTTTTTATTGTTTGAGGTACAATAACAGAATATAAATTGTACATAATACTTGATATCTACCAAATTACTTTATAAATCTATATTCCAGCAATAATTGTACACAGCATTTATACAAAAAATGGCAAAGAATTTAATTTCAGCACCGAGTTTAAAATTTATGCTTTCAAAACAGAACAAGAAAACTTTAAATATATGTAGATTAGTTAAAGATGTGTGTAGTAGTAGCAAACCGAAAGCGTCACCACCACACACATTTAAAAGCAAAGCAATAATATTTGAGCTTATTCCTTATTTGATAACAAAAATGATTCCGTTCTTTTCATTATGGTAAAATGTAACAATTATAAATTTATGTAGTAATGTACCTATGTCAATCCATTCTCTAGCTCCAAGAAGCTTCTATTATGTTGATTATGAATAATCAATTATCTTAACGATTGGTCAGCGTGCAGGCTTTTTAATCTTTTAGATCAGGAGAGGACTAATTGGAATATATTATAAAAATATATATCTCACATTCAATGATTTAATAAACCATCAATAAACCTAGGAGTTTTTGAGATTCTTGCATAGAATATTTGCTGGTTCAACTCTATATAGTAATTGAATGAGGCTTTCATCAGAATATTCTCAAATGAATATGATGATAGTTTACATTTATAAGCATAGTGAACCAATAAAAACTTGTTGAGATTCTCAATTTGAATACATGCCAATTAATTTCTGTAAGCTACTTAAATATGGCTTTATATTTTTTATATTAATTTCTATTAATTAGCTTAGTGAACCAATAAAAATTTGTAGTGATTCTCACATTGAATACTGGTCGATCCATACCTACAAGGTAATTAAATAACGCATATATATTTTCTTATGAATACCTATCGATTAATTAAGCTGAATAGCAGCAAGTACTCGGAAAACTTTCAATAACAAGTGTTTTAATACAGACTTTGAATCATGAAACTACCTTAAGTCGTGGTCTTCCTCCGTTGCATAAGTTATCCAAAATGCGATTCATCGGAGTCGTATTAGCATTTTGGAATAAGACAAATTTCGTTTTCCTAGAAATAGAACAGGCATTCAGGTGTCATGTTAATTCGTAAAAGTAGTACTTAATCATTTTACCTACAGAAAGCTACATCACGCGGTGACATAGGCTACAATTTACAAGGGCGAAGTCAAGGTCAAAAGAGCTAACAGTTAGTGTATAATGATGTATCAGTGCGTCGGAAAAATAAAAATTATTTGAATTAGCGGTCTCCTTTTATCTTGAAGTCGGTAAGTAAAAGTAGCGACCAGCGGTCGCTCGTCAGAAATTGAGCGAGGGCAATGCGGCTTACCAATTTTCGATAAGGCCCCTTTTCATATATAGAATTATTCATTTACTTTTAAAAGAGACATCTAAGGAATAAATCCATTAGGTATTCTGTGGCTTTATCAAAATGACCGGTCTCTTTTACTTAGCTTATTTTCAATTTGAATATTAAGGCACGAAAAATCTAAGGAATTTTATTAATATCATAGTACCTGTAAATCTTCCATTAATAAATTTCTATTTTAATATGATCAGTTGATCTTTTTCGCGGCAAGTCAGGCAGATACATAGTCTTTAAGAATATTTTCAACGACTTTTTCTAATATCCTTGTAATTTTTGCTTTAGATTCGTGATCACTTGGAGCCGCTGGAGATCATGGCGTCTCTGTTGGCGGCCATAGCCCACGACATGGACCATCCAGGCGTTAACCAACCATTCCTTATCGCCACATCTAACCACCTGGCTGCTTTGTATCGAGTAAGTTCTTATAAGCATAAGCTAAAATTGTTTTATTTATTACTTGCTGAGTCACCGAACTTCTTACTGATTTTAATAATTTTTAACAGACTTCTAAAGGGAGGAGAGTTTCTTTTTTGGTCGCGTATAATTATTTTATGTATGTTCAGCGATCACTCCGCATTTTCTTGAACGAATTTCTAAACAGCGTCGAAATATCAGAGATTCGATGTATTCATCGAGGTGTTCTTGGTAAATGATAGCAATATCGTAATCAACAATCAATTTAACATTATTTCTTTATACAAAATCAGCTGAAATTTAGTGATTTTGGGTATATGCAGCCTATCAATATGGGTGTAAATTAATGTATATTTCACCTACTTATTAGTTACTTGATTTAAGTAGTCAGTCTTACATGCAGATACGAAAGTGCGAAATATCATGTAAACCGTCAATATACCCTATGTTATAAAACAAATGTTAGGTACAACAGTCTTAACTATTTCATTGGTGACACAGGTATGACTTCATCATCATCATCAGCCCTTTTACGTCCCCACTGCAGTTGCTCAGGCCTTCCTTATGGATGGTTAAGGAGGATGGGCCATGACTCTCCACGCTGGCCCAATGCGGTTTGGAGGGGGTTGACTGCAAATGCAGCCGGGACAGAGCACAGAGTAGCTCGAGATAAGATTTTTTTGGCCACCCATCCCGTGACCGAACTTTGCGAAAGTTGCTTAATGACAACGATCGCGAGCCGCGACGCTTATCCACTACGCCACCGAGCTACTCATTAGTATGACTTTGAATACCTAAATTTCTATTCAACCCCTATGTGGCAAGAGAAATATTAGTGTGTATATGTCGTGGCCATATCGTAGATTTGCTCATTTCATAAAATGCTCGATAATTTCATGAAATGGTCGTATTTCATAAAATGTTTTAATGTCTATTGGTCACATCATGATGTGGTTTGAGCAGATCAATGATAAGAAATCGTTTCTCGATATGGGCAACTACACGCGTGGCTTTTTCATGAAATGGTCAAGATTATCCGATCATATCGTAAAGTAGTTACATTAATTACTGGTAGAGGCGCTGCAGGCGCTTTGTTTATGCGTGAAGATGGCGAAAACGTTGTTTCTCGCAGTAAATAAAACAATAATTTGTTAAATGATGAAGAAAGTGGTGACAAACAAGTTTACGACAAAAAGGTTCACGAGTACTATGCAAGTTACGCAAAAACTGACCAAAATGTAAAAAAGCCGTGGAGTTTGGATCGCATTTCACAGGTTAGTACTTTACTCTCAAATTACATAATTATTTACTTATTTTATTAAAATACTCTATGCCAGCTAATGTATTGTGCGTTAATTGATATTATTCTGCGCTTGTGAGTTATGACATAATAAAGATTTTTTTTTAATTTTTAGGTTATTAAGGAGAGTAGGGTGACTAAGCAAAAGAAGTCCAAGGACTATTACTGGCTGTCAAAATATGACATTGTGGAAACTGCGGATGAGGAATATCTTATATTCAAGAAAAAATGCATCGACGATCCTACTATTCGTATAATTCCGATAGAGAAGTATTTTGAAATATTAAAGGAAGTTCATAAAACTGTTGGACATGGTGGACGATTAAAAATGATTCAACACATTAAAAATAGACTTTATATTCCAAAGAAACCCATTGAGCTATTTGTTGACCTGTGCTCTGATTGTGAGAAGAAACGTGCCGTGCCAAAAAAAGGTATAGTAACGCAGCCGATAATTTCTAAAGATTTTAACACACGAGGGCAGGTGGATTTGATAGATTTACAGTCTGCCCCGGATGGAGAATTTAAATGGCTTATGAATTACCAAGATCATGCCACAAAATTTTTACACCTCAGACCACTCAAATCAAAAAGAGCTGCAGAAGTAGCGATAGAACTTTTAAAAATATTTTTAGAATTCGGCGCTCCATTTATATTACAAAGTGATAATGGAAGAGAGTTCACTGCGCATGTTATAGAAGAATTGGTGTCGATGTGGCCCGAATGCAGAATTATTCACGGTAGTCCTCGACGTCCTCAACCACAAGGCAGCGTGGAAAGATCCAATCAAGACGTCGAAAATATGTTGCGATGTTGGATGCAAGATAATAAATCTACAAAATGGTCCATTGGTTGTTTTTTTGTTCAATTCTATAAAAACTCTTCTTACCACCGCATTATTGGCAGATCTCCTTACAATGCATTGTTTGGTTCTGAGCCGAAAACTATATTAAAAGGTTGTGATATTCCTGAAAGTATTATGACATCAATCAAGACGGAGGAAGAATGGAACCAAATAAATCAGAAAAAAAAAAGGAGGAAGAATTAGACCAAATAAATCAGAAAGGGAAGAATAACGAAAACGGGTTCCGGGACAATTAAAAATTAGTTTTCACGGCAGGACCTACATATGTCGTCTAAAGATTATTGTGAAGATATATTAGAATTGCCAATATCATTGAGGGAAGCTGTAAATTTTGAAATCTTTATTCGGAGGTCAAGGCTTTAAAAAATGCTTTTGCAAGCCAGCCAAAAATCAATGCCGTACAAAAAGATGCGCATGTTTCAAAAACAAAACACTTTGTACTTCAAAGTGTCACCAAAGCTTGTCATGCGCCAACAAATGACTGAAAGGTTGTAAGACTGAATTTTTTAATTTTAATTCATTTATTGTGCATTCCATGTGATTTTTTATATTACTTTTTGTAACTTTGTACCAAAGTACCTACTCATTTCTAAATATTTGTTTATTTTCTAAAATTAGATGTATAACTAATTGACTAGTCACTAAAGACTAATAAAAAAATATATTTAATTTTGTTCCAAAAATTTGTTTAATTATGTTACACAAATTTGTATAATTTTGTTACAAAAATTTGTTTAACTATGTTACACAAATTTTTATAATTTTATTACAAAAATTTGATTAATTTTGTTTGTGTCAGCTGACTGACTTAAATGACAATAAATAAGTTCTTAAAATAATCTGGATTTTTATTAAATATTTTATGGACACCCTATTTATATGATCTGGCCAAATGTGGATGACAAAATCGTGAAACATTGACGATTTAATGATCTGATCAAATTTAGTTGCCCACATCATGAAATGCGACCATTTCATGAAATTATCGAGCATTTTATGAAATGATACGATATGGCCACGACATATATAAGTAATATTCATTTAGTTTTTGATTTTCAAAATCAAGTTTTAATGTTGTATAATAATATTAAAAAGCCCTCTTGTAGCTTTTTTATTGTAGAGTTAGTATTGATTTTGTTAGGTGTGATATAATACGTATTGCTTCCATCAAACGGGTCTCAGTTCCCAAGCGCTTCTGTGTCATCGACACCGCCGACATTTTTAGGATTCGACTGTAATAAATCATACTCAATCAGGGAAATACGAAAAATATACATACACCTTCACTCATACCAATCGATTGGAGTACCTGCCTGGATTGAGAGATTAAAACACCATCGAAGTTATTAACATTTGCTTAATTCACATTAATATGTGAATGTGACTGTTTCGTAGCATGCTAAAAATCCAGTTGCTTTTCAAATGTCTATTGCAAGACGTGCTTATGCAGTGGGAAAATGCAATTAATTGAGGCGCCATTTAAGTGCCATCATGTCGTTAACATTAGTAAAGTTATCTAAATTACCACTCTTTCAATTAAAAAACACTTTCCCGGCTCCACTTTCACTATTTTTGCTGCCTTGTTTTTACCAATGACAGTATCTTATAAGATGGGGGCATCTACGTATATAGGAAGGAACTTGGTTGGAATAGCACATTGGTTAGCGGGATCGGTCTGCGATACGGCAATTAAGCAACTTTCGCAATAGTAGGTCATAGGGTGGATGACCACGAGATTATTATCTCGATCTCCTCCGTGCTTCGAAAGCCACGTGCAACTGTTAATCCCGGTTTCATCTGCAGTTGTTAACTCCCACCAATACGTACTAAGCCCGTTTGCTGGGTCATGGGCCAATTATCCCTATTCGATTTTAGTTATAGGGTGCATCAGTGCCTTAGGAGTGGGGATATTATAGACTGGCGATGATCTATGTAGAAAGGAAACTTCTTGTTATTTAGATAAAACATTCTAGTATAATTATGAGTCATTACGGTGTTGACTTTTCTATTTTGTTGATTAAGTGGAGGCACTTTGTGAATATTTTTTTTTCCTGTTCAATAAAAAATTGACAATTTGTTTTTAAAATGTTTTTATGATATTATTCGACCTTTAATTAGGATATTACCCGTTTGTTTGATAATTTCTTTTTAAATATTAAAACGTGATACTTTTGTAAATATCAAATACGAAATGGAGCTGTCTTTAATATTTTTTACTCCATTTTATTTGTAGTTCATGACCTTACCAATTTTGACCGCTCACAACTAGTAATAACCGGATAGAATCAGTCAGTGTAACCACATATCGATATTTAGCCGTTACATATGAATTTAATATTTCAGATAATAGGCACTTTCATATGGATGATAACGACGTCAAAAGGGATTATCGTATGAATACTTAGCAGTAATCCGTTTCAATTTACCATATTATTATAATCATTAATCCTTTTTATTCTTAATTTGATACACCATCGAATTCAGACACCATTTCATCACACTTATTTCTACAGTAATCGTCACGCAATGTACGATACTTACATACCAATTTTAAATTGTTAATATCACAAGAAAATCTTTTTATGTATCTAAACCTGTTCAAGTAGGATGCGCATATTTATCATAAATTTGCAAGACACAGATTGATACTATTAATATGAAAACTGTGGAGGTGGATGACTCTATGAAATATTCTTAACGACGAAGGACGCTGTGAATCTCCCTAAGATTAGAATAAAAAATAAAATCGAAAACTACGAACTCTTACTCATATTATTAAGAGGATGTGAGCATCAAAAATAACTAACTTTGACTGAAGAAATAACTATGTGATTAATAATGTTTAATTCAATGTATATTTGGAAGTGTTTTGCCTCAGTCACAAGTGGTTTTTCTCCATAGAATATTTTTATGGAGAAAAATCATAAAGTTACCACTGTTACTACTTTTTAGTGGAAAAATAGTAAATATATGAGTCGCTTTGTTATTTATTTTATTGAATAATTTTAGATAATTCGAATATTTCATCGCTTGCTTTGATTTAAGGTGATCTTTTTAGTCTAGATAAACTTAAATTATAAGAATTGAAACATCATTATAGTATAATATAAGAAGATTAAGAGTTGTATGGCGGTGGTGCAGCTCCCGTGTCCTAATTGTCTAACTTTTAAAACTATCACAATCACTTTCAAAAGTATAGCGGTTGTGATAGTGGTTTATGGAATTGTGCACCTTTTAAAGTCACAATTGCTTTCGGTACGAATGATATAGAATGTCATAGATAATTAATTCATTTCGATTTGTTGTTAAGTTGTGGAATAATCTTTACGATTTTGTATGATTGTAATTAACTCTTCTATTTCGACTAAAGAATAAAATATTTCATGAATATAAATAACATAATAGAAGTTAAATAATTTAATACTTTGACTTAACGTTTAATTAACATAATAAAAACATATCTAAATTGTCGAAAGATTGCAGTTAGTGTTCAATTCTTTCATTCACATTACCCAATAGCTTTCAAATGTATTTGTAACTATCAATTTGCTTAGACAATTCCGATTTACGGCAAAAAATTATGTTATCGCTCATTGAATATCTTCCAAAAAACGTCGATACCGCAATTGCTTTCACATGTCAAAAAGTTGTAATGTGAAGTTCGCGAATGTCTTTCAAATGTCAAAATTGAAAGTGATTTATGAAAGATGTTTTTTTAGGAATTAGCCCATTGGTTGTAATACCATAGTGAAATATATTTATCGAAAAATCTAATGAATATTACTAATTCATTGTATGATTATTATGTATAGCGCAAGCGTGGGCGGTAGAGCCGCATATGAAACTTCACGAACCCCCCAATAAAAGTTAAAATCATTACGCCGAATATTTATAGCCTTCATTTAACGAAACAACTTTTAATTAAATACAGCTCTTATTTCAGTTATTAATAATATGCTGCTATAGTGAATTGTTTTTGATTCTTTAACGATTTAAGTCGGTATCAAGTGTTAAAATAATTTTAAAAATTAAATGTTTAGAAAAAAATAAAATCTGCGGTTGAATGCGTTTTAGGGAGATTATTGCGGCAAGAAAGTATCTGCTATCGATATTTATATATCTGTCAACTTGAATAGAAATTTGTAAATTTTGTTATGCACTTATTACTGATTTCCATTTTCGGATACGATAAATTCGTGACTAGATAATGTTTGAGGTTTAAATTGTCCTTTGCTTAACAGAACACCTCCGTGTTGGAGAATCATCATTGGCGTTCCGCTGTCAGCTGCCTCATCGAGAGTGGATTGCTGGATCAGATGGCGGAGATTCGGGCCATTTTGGAGAATCAGATCAGTTCACTGATCCTCGCAACGGATATCACTCGACAGCAGGAGTACCTCAGCCAGTTCAAGGTAAGGTTTTAGTATAAAATACCTAACTGTATTTTTACAACTCTTTTGCAACGTCCAAAATATTTTTAAAACTGTTTGTTATTATATATACGACTTACTGAAATAAGTCGTATTTATCATTGTTCGCAAGAGGTGTCGATTTTCAGGGATATAGTCACCGGATTGATAGATACTACAGCAACACAACGTTGGATAATGGAATACTTTTATATATTTTCTTAATAGTGCTAGAATTAGATAAATAGAGTCCTCGAATCAAAGCATTCATTGAATTTCACATTAAAACTAATAAATAGATAATATTTTTATGTTTTTGTACATATGATGTAACAGATGATGACACATCGACCAAAATTGAAAATATTTGCCGCCATTTTATAAACTTTTATTGATAAAATCTGTATAGTAGAAATCAGTCGGAACTATAATGTTAATGGCATCCAGTATAACGACAAAATAAAGTCTAATTAATCAATCAATCAATCATTTATTGCATAAGATATGGTGTAACAGATGTCATAAAATAAGGGTATCACATATTTACTGTTTGACAGTGTGCAATAGTTTTAGTAGCTATATAAATTTACATTTTAATCTATTCATGCATTAACTTTGATATTATTTTATTCGCACATCATTAACTTAAAAACATTTGTTGCATTCTTTTTCATTAAGTCTAATAACAAAAATAAACGGTTACCACTAAAATAAACCAAATTTTAAATTGTCATTGCAAAATATATCATTATCGTGGTCATATTTCGCACTCTTTTCGACATTTTCTAATTATAAAAGTCCTCCGTTTAAAACACGTAACTATTATTAAAGAAACCTTTGACTCTTTTAAGATTCATTACAATTATATTTGTTTCAGACTATTGTTATTAAGCGCTTTTTTACGGAAAGGTAAACTGTAGACTCAGTCGCATTCAGCCAGTTCCAAGTAATATTCGCAGGACACACTCTGATTTCCAAGAACGACCCATTCTTCTTTTATAATAAATAAAATACAAAACAAATTACGAGGTTTGCAAACGAAACTCCCTGAAAACGTTTCTTGACGTAATTGCAATCATCATTTGTTTTGTCCAATGCAACACTTTATAGCTTCTCTTATTCGTAATAGTTATAATCGATATTAATGATGAGTAGAAAGTAAGTGGTAATATGTATTGAGTTTTGTAGATATTGTCTAAGTACGATACTATCAATAGAATATTTGCGGCTAACCTACTGTGTAACGGAATCACAATCGAAGAGAATGTGAATCCGTTACATATTTTTTAAGGACACACAGACGCACCTGTAAATATTTCGTGCCTTCGAAATTTTATGTGTAGATACACAGAACTTAAAAGGCTTCATATATAAATTAGTTTAATTTTTTACGTGTCATTAGATTTTACGAGATTATAAAAAAAAACCACTTTTTATACTGTAAAATATTGTTAAAGCTACATCTGGATAAAACTTACAGCTACATCTCCTTAACTTTTTCTGACGCTCAGTACCGTCATTTGCTAGAGCGAGAAAAATAGCATGTAATAGTTTGCTATCCATATTAGATCGAAGTTTCGGCGTTGTTGCATGATCACGGAAAAATTATATTGCTATGATATTAAATTTTTAATACAAAACTTTACATGTTTTTTGGGAAGTTCGTTAATGCATATCTGTATGTTATTACTAAACAGCGTTTCATGTTACAAATAAAAATTTCGCTCCCTGGCTTTATATAGTTTTCCCTGCGACTTAAATTAGTGTAAACATGCAGGAAAATTTATTATTTTATGTTGCAGTCTCATTTCGTAACTCTGTAATTCACTGCATTCACCTATACGCTACATGTACTTCTCTGTGACGATGATAGTGAAGGACGACCGGCGAGGGTGGTTAGCAATTTAATATGGATAGCGTACGTACATTTTTAGACGCTGAAAAAAAATACACGTGTCTAGTAAAAATATTTTATATGTGCAAAAAAAGGCAAAAAGGATTTGTACTATATAAATTTGACTGCATATAAAAGATGACAGAAAAGCTTGATTTAGGGCGGTAATTGATTGTCTTAGCACATGTGATAAGTAACAAAACTTAATGTACGTCTTTTGAATATTTGCAGATGAAAGTTAAAAATGGCTTCTCCATAAATTAAGATATTACGCGAAACCAAAGGAAAGTTATTACAGATCGGTACTTAAAGTTTATGTTAATGTAATCCACACATTTTGTTAGGTAGAAGGTTCTAAAGTTTGTTTTTTCACTTTCAAATTTTAGTGATCCTATTACCGGTTTAATTTCTAAATTTCTGGACCATATTCCCTGTCACATTTCACTATGTTCCCAAAACTCTTTAATAATGTGTAGATCACATTGAGATTAGAAACCTATGGCATTTCACGTGAACACCTGGACCATTTCGGGAATAAAGGCCAGTAAGGTAACAGACATCAAATGTATAATTTATAATGAATTCACTTTGAATTATGATTTAAATTATGTAAATTCAAATCTATCACTTTCTGCTTTGTAACTGTTTCCCAAAAAATTATAGGAACTTATTAAAACTTGGAATTAATAAGTTCCGAGTTTAAGATATTATTGGTTCCGCCAAAGAAGACTGGGGTCCAACCAAAAATTGGTATAAATCTAAATTGTCAGAGAATAGGAATAAATTTATGTTATTCAGAATATACATTCTGTTAAACCTACATTTATCATAAGTAATCTCTAGATTTTTTTATTTTTCAAGAATCTTTTAGTATACCTTAAGTATTTTCAGAAGCAGTGTTTACATAAATGACAAATTGTAGAATTTGCGACGTTGTCTGCTTTTGTAAATTTCATTAATTAGCGTAAAATTACTAGTGCTCTACAGCGGCAGTATGCTATTTTCTCTGCCTGCGGTAGCACTTCAATTAAATTTCAACGAGGCTTACAATGTGTGTGCACTAGATGGAGACCAGTTTGAGCTTCCTTAGCATCTCGTTATGTTGATCCACTATGAAAATGGGACGATATACTCGTTCAAAAAGATAATATACAAAAGATGTACTTATGAACAAAAAACGTGTGTATACAAATTTACTAATATATAAACAGCTTTCAGTTTTCTATCAAAGTATGACATTTCAGTTTAAGTACTGTATCATTAACATTAGCCTATCCAAGAAGATAGGCTACAACAATCTGCCTTAGTAGGTAGTTTGGTGTTAGACAAGTAACGAATTAAAACAAAAAAAAAAGAATTTAAGGCAAATTTATATGTCAATAACAAGGCGAATTACACTTTAGGCATATAGATAACAAAAGGTTATAAAAATGTTGAGGTATACTGATATATTTACTAACTAGGGCATTCTATTGTAAGAGTACATTGCGCATTTGATATTTTTAAATTTGTTGTACTGACACATAGAGTCGAACATCGCTTCGAACATTTAACGTTACAAATTAAAAAACGCTTTAGTAAATGCCCGTCAGAAATATGTACCTATTAGTCATAATATATCGATAATCTTTAGGTTGCATATGCAAATGTCGTAATGTCGTCGATCCCGGGATCGCCGGCTATACATATACTGTACATACAAAGTACTTGTGTTTTATGCCTTTTCATATCATGAATTCACAGTTCCAGCTTCAGTTTTGTTTTGAAAAAATTGAACCAATCTGAAAAGTATTCCTTTACAAAAACTATTGGAATTGACTGGAAAATATCAATTTCACCAGGTATTCCAATACTATACGAATAAAAATTCTACAGTTTCCACGGAGTTGTTTTTACGTTGCCCATTGATAGCGAAAAAGTGCACAGAAATGGGATTAATTGGATCATATATTTTTATGTTTTCTGACTTTCGATGAGCTTATATTCCGCTGTGCTATTCGTTAAAAATAGCCTCGATCTCGACGATGAAATAAATAAAATCTTTGTAACTTTTTCGAGTAGTATGAATAGAATCAGGTTTTATTTTGCGGAAGTCCCACACTTAATCAGTGTCTGCAAGTCCTGCTGTACATGTTTGTTGCCATTTACCTATTGACATGTAAATGGCAACCAATCTCGCTTGAAACACCACCACAAGTGTTTCCCCCCTCCACGGAGCATCCTTAAGAGTATAGAGAGTTCATTCGATTGAACCTCTACGCTTTGACAGAACTACGATCGTCAAATTCGCGGTTATTATTCATCATCAGCTTATTAACCTTCTCATCAAACTCCTTCCCGTCGAACGTTCAACCCCTTATTGTCTAATACTGAATCTCTTTATTTTTAATTATCTACTCTAACCCTATTGCCGACTCTTTTCTTTGAAAGGAAATATGTTAAATATTTAAAGAAACAGTTATTATGTAATTTTTTCTTATTCTAGGAATTCCTCGGAATTGTTTTATTGTTAAGTACATTTCTAACACAATAATACTATATTGAACGTTTATTGCATTTTGATCAAATCCAATGTCGACCAAATCGGAGCCAATTAAGTTACGCGGTTGGCCTGCTGGACCGATTTTCCATCCGAAATTCTTTCTACATGTTCGAACCAACAGCGCATGCCTTACAGGACAATTCTTTCGTATATCATTATTATTATGTTATTTTGTTCTTTTATTATCTCTACTGAGTTAATTTTTCTTACATGCTCTCTCTGATAACCTAGGACCATGATATTACAATAAAAAAGGAAAAAGTTGATACAAGAAGATGTAAACTTATTCACTTACTCCGACATTATATCGTCAGCAGCTGTGATAAATATAACTTAAGTTTATTATATTGTAATATTGTCTCTTTCAAATATCATTTGTTTAACCAAAACAAAGACTACATCTCATATTTATCAGAGGCCTACATACATAGTTTTCTTTTAAACAAAATCCAATACATACCTATTTGAGTTTTGTTTTGTTAGTTATAAGTTATTATACCGTGGCATTTGATTGTCCTACCGTTATGAAAGGTGCATTATGAATAAAATCGTTGTGACATATTTATT